TGGACATCTTTCAGGAGTGCTTTTGCTGTGTATTCATAGAATCATAAAATCATAGAATCAAAGAGTTGGAAGAGACCTCATGGGCCATCCAGTACAACCCCATTCTGCCAAGAAGCAGGACAACCCCATTCAAAGAACCCCTGACAGATGGCCATCCAGCCTCTGTTTCAAAGCTTCCAAAGAAGGAGCCTCCACCACACTCCGGGGCAGAGAGTTCCACTGCTGAATGGCTCTCACAGTCAGGAAGTTCTTCCTCATGTTCAGATGGAATCTCCTTTCTTGTAGTTAAAGGAGATTCCTGCCTGGCAAAGGGCTGGACTAGATGTTCCTTTTTTTATCCGGGATCCTATGCTTCTCTTCCAACAGAGGCTTCCAAATATACATTTCCTTGGGCCATGGATTCCTGCAAAGGGTGTTTCTCTTTGTTTCAAAAATACATGAGAAGGAAGGATGGAAGCGGCACGAGTAAACTTCACAAGCTCAAAGCAGCAAACGGGTAATGCACAGCATCCCCAAAAAGGACGTTTTCTTGTTTTCCCATTGCAATGCTGAACATGGAGTTATGAGCCCTAAGTGTGTTTATTTCCAATTCTTCCCTAAACTCACGAAAAAGGAGCGGATGCCGAGAATCGCTGCTGTCGTCTTTGAGGCTTCTGGGATGCCTCTGAGTTGATCTCACATTTCCATTTCCTTCCCCTTGCTTCTCATCACTGGAGGAATTCATTAGGGTTTGTGTGTGTGTGTTTATATATATATTATATATATATGTATAAAACCAAGATGGAATTTTAATTATATTTTGCCTGGTCTCCTGGGGCTCCCAGGCTTGAGTTGCTTTGAATAAATATGCAAGAAGGTTAGTTTATTATGCCGTGACTCATGAAATCTGCATCCAAAGGGAGCCGGAGTTGGTATGTCTATATTTGCTAGCTCTCAGAAAAATCTCCGCTGATGATGATGATGATGATGATGAGGCCTTTTTTTCCTTGGCTCAAAGACCAAGCTCATCCTATCCTTGGAAGGAGGGGAAAAGAAAGGAACCAAATGGAGATCAAGAGGGTTTGAGAATTCCCCGTGGAGCTTCAAACTAGAGCAGTGTTTCTCAACCCTCCTAATGCCGAGACCCCTTAATCCAGTTCCTCATATCGTGGTGACCCCCAACCACAAAATTATTTTCCTTGCTACTTCATAACTGTAATTTTGCCATTGTTATGGATTGTAATGTAAATAACTGATATGGAGGATGTATATTTTCATTCACTCAACCAAGTTTGGCACAAATACCCAATATGCCCAAATTTGAATACTGGTGGGTTGGGGGGTGGGGTTGATTTTGTCATTTGGGAGTTGTAGTTGCTGGGATTTATGTTTCACCTACAATCAAAGACCATTCTGAACTCCACCAATGATGAAATTGAACCAAACTTGACGCTCAGGACTCCCATGACCAATAGAAAATACTGGAATGGAATACTGGAATACCTTGAGTTTTGGAGTTGTTGTTCACCAGAGAGCACTGTGGACTCAAATAATGATGTATCTGGACCAAACATGGCACAAATACTCAATATGCCCAAATGTTAACACTAGTAGAGTTTGGGGGAAATAGACCTTGACATTTGGGAGTTGTAGTTGCTGGGATGTATATTTCACCTACAATCAAATAATATTCTGAACCTCACCAATGATAGAATTGGGCCAGACTTCCCACACAGAACCCCCATGACCAAGAGAAAATACTGTGCTTTCTGATAGTCTGATAGTCTTTGGCTTCTGTGATGCCTCTGAGGTGATCTGACATTTCCATTTCCTTCCCCTTGCTTCTCATCACTGGGGTCCCCCCTTGGGGTCCCGACCCCCAGGTTGAGCACCACTGCTCTAAGGGCTAGACCAAGACATTAGTCCAAAGACTCAAACAATAACCTTGGCTAGGCTTGAGAGCCTAAAGGTTATCGCCCAGCCATTTGGCAAACATTGGTCACCTTAATCCAGTCAGCTAGACATTTCTTCATTGTTTCCCTGTTGCCCGCCTCCCTTCCCCCTCATTGGCTAAGCGGCCAAAGCAGGGCTCATGCTGTCATTGGCTCTCCTGCTGGCTTGCTGACATCACAGCCAATCATAACAAAGCCAGCTGGGGGGTGGGGGGTGGGCATGGGAACTTTTAAATCTGAAAGCTATAAATATTGTATCTTTTTGCCCAGTGGGCATGTCAATTTGTTGGCAGATTACTGCAATCGTCATCCTTTCCAGCTGGAATGAAATCAAAACCTTGGTGGCTTTCTCTTCAACTTGGTGAGATTTATTCTGTAATATTGGCTTCTCTTTCTCACCAGGCAACCCACAATGGCTTGGGTCTATCGACAACCATTCTAAATTGCTTGACCACACTTGCATTAGGGGAAAAGGTATTTGGGAAGGGAGACCAAAAAGATAGACCAGTCCAGTGAGAGCTGAGCTGATTCAACCTTGTGGGGAGAACAAATAGAAAGTGCTTAAGGGTGGAGGCATGACAGTTCCAGGCTACATCTCCCCAACCCCCCTCCTGGATTTTGGGAACTGTTGCCCAGGAATAGGCAGCTTGTCCCTTCCACACTGCAACTCCCTTTTTGTGACGGACCCCACTTGTGCGCCGACTCATCCACCTGAGGACAAGTGTAACGTGCAGGATTATCAAGTGCAAACAGTGTCTCCGGCTGCCAAAACATAATCAGGCCAAGGCTTTGGTGGAGTCTGCGCCTCCCTCCCAAGGTCTCATTAATCTCCAGTTATTATTAAAAAGCCCCCGTCGCCAAAAGGGGGGGGGGGCTGTGCTCCAGTGTTATGGATATATTGGATTACAGAGAAAGAGTTTCAGATGAATTGCTCCGTCCAGGAAGATTAATCTTTGAGGTGGATACAGCCGGAAGGCATCCAGCAAGAGCTTGGAGGTTATCTCAGGTGCTGCCTTCCCAGAGCGACTGAGGAACATCTCAGAGCACTGGATCTGGCGGCTTCTCTACAGACCTCATCACATTGAGAGGGGAAAGCAGGGGTGACCATCCCTTTAAGAGCAGAGAATCACCCCTCTTATATCATCAGCAGTCCTGTTTTCATTCTGCCTCCCCATCACACTCACACTCACAGGTGGAAACTTAAGAGCTGGCATTACATTCATCTTATATTCATCACATGGTCAGTATTATATTTTTGTTTGTGATCAGGAGAAAGAACAATATCCGAAAGCCAAAAGATCCCTTGCCCTGCCCAAAGTCCCTTACATTGAAGGAGTTTGGCGCTAGGTTAAAACCACTTCTTTCCATGGGATCCTATAGTTCTGCATAGGATACAGTTTGCCCATGCATGATCTACACTGTAGAAGTAATGCACTTTGACACCACTTTAACTGCCATGGCTCAATACTACTGAATCCTGAGAGCTGTATCTTAATGAGGCACCAACATTAAACCTTATCTCTCAAGATCCCATATCATCGAGCCATGGCAGTCAAAGCAGTGCCAAACTGCATTAATTCTACAGTGTAGATGCACCCATAGTGGACTAAACTGACCCAGCTGCACCTATATCCTAGACCTGTCAAGGTTAAAGCAGAACTTCTTGATACACCAACTAAGAAAGTAACTTGTGGAAACTAATTCCAGAATTTGACAACGTGCTGTGTGGAGCTGATGTCCAAAAATAAGAATAGAAGGTTCAACTGTAGGATGATCTGTTTTGGTGAGTCTGATTAACTCTGTGTTGACGATAGCTGACATCTCAATCCTGGCCTGCTTTGTTTGTTGAGCTCTGTCATTTGCACTATGCGAGAAATGCTATAAACAACTACAATATTATGTGCCCAGGGCCAATAACCAAAAGGTATGGTGATATACAGAGCCACACCCTGAGAGCATCCCCCTAAACCACAAGCAAGTTTCACTCTGTGCTGATGACATGGACCTTAGGTAAGGATGACCACATGTGCAGAGGATATAATAATACAGGACATCCCCAAGATCTCTGTTATTGTGGGCATGGGCCAACTTCAGCCCTCCATCCAGATGTTTTGGACTTCAACTCCCACAATTCCTAACAGCCTACCGGATGTTAGGAATTGTGGAAGTTGAAGTCCAAAACATCTGGAGGGAAGGCCGAAGTTGGCCCATACCTGACGTGCGGCTAATATTTCAGCCCTACCTACCCAGCACAAATGAACTCTCATTTACACCTTCTGCAACTCCACATTCATTCCACCTCCAAGAGAGAACTCACACCTACACAAGGCACCAATGGGATTTCAGCATTGGCAGGTGAGACACTCTTCTGTATAACAAAGTAACACAGTTTATTTATAACTTCTGGCTCCAACGCTTGTGGTTACATTTGTGTTTTGTTGCAATCTTGAGGCTTACAGTCAGTATAATATATTTGGTTTACTTTTCTGAAATAGACTTTCAATGTTTCACATTCGCAAACATGTTACTTGCTTCACACATTCTTGACTGAAATTATATTCTGACTAAAGCACCACTGGCTTTCTTTATGTTCCTAAAACTTGAGCTCTTTTTAACTAACTGCTTCTATATATCAGAAGTCTTTAACACATCTTCATAACTGCTTATTTCTTACAGGAGTTCCTAACTCTTTTCTCACACAGAAGTTCCTAACTGTCTCTCACAAACAGGAATCCCTAACTCTTCTCACAAACAGCAATTCCTAACTCACTCTTTTGACTCTCTCACTGCCTATTTTTTAAAACCTTGGCTCCGCCCCTTTTGAATGTTTAGCTCTGCTCTCTCTCCAGCTGTCATTTTGGCCTAGCAACCTTTTCAAATCCTGGGCCTACGCTAATCTGCATATGACCAATCGGCTTCCATATGCAAATGAATCCTATCTCTGCTGTTGCTACCCTGTCTGTGCCTATTCTTCCCTATCTGCCATATGCAAACATAGAGCTATACACCAAAAATTTAACATAGAGTAGCAATTTCGCTACAGCAGGCATCCTCCAAAATGGCTCTTACCTCGGACGATGATGTTGGTGGACTTTTTGGCTGGGTTCCCTACGTTGTTGTTGGCGATGCAGCTATAGGTGCCGGCGTCCTCCGAGGTGATGGCGGGGATGGTCAGCGTCCCGCCCTTCAGAGCTGACTTCTCCGGCAATGCGCCCACCGATCGCACCCAGCTCAGTGTTGGCAGTGGTTCCCCTCCCGTGGTGACACAAGCCAACGTGATGGCCTCCCCGGGGTTCACCACAATGGGATCGTCCACCAGGAGCTTGATGGAGGGAGAGGCTGCGGAGGGAAGGAGGCAACATGTCAATCACAGCTGCAACATCAACTGCTATGAGAACACTGTCTCTGAAACTGAACCTTGATTTCCTCGAGGCTGATTTGATTGGACTGCAACTCCTATCCTCACTAATCAATGACATTCAATCAGATTTACCTGTCATGCCTAGGTGTGCCCTAAGATGCAAGGAGTGGCATTTGCCCTACATCATGGGTCAGTTTGTTCCCCATTACCTCCAAAAGCTGCATTCCACACAGCAAGCCATAATAATATTTTGTGTGTGTGTGTGTCAGGAGTGACTTGACAAACTGCAAGTCACTTCTGGTGTGAGAGAATTGGCTATCTGCAAGGAGGTTGCCCAGGGGACGCCTGGATGTTTAATGTTTTACCATCTTTCTGGGAGGCTTCACTTATTTATTTATTTATTTATTTATTTATTTATTTATTTATTTATGGCATTTACATGCTACCCTTCTCACCCCGAAGGGGACTTAGAGTGGCTTACATTATATATGAATATACAATATATTATATTATAATTATATTATAATATATTATTAGCATAGCTTAGGAGACAAGATGGAACTGTCCTCCTGGCCCCTTCTCTCTTCGCTCTGGCCCCGCATGGGGAGATGGAGCTGACAAAAGGAACTCAACCTTCTCTATCCGGATTTGAACCCTTGACCTGTCAGTTAGCAGTCCTGCCGGCACAAGGGTTTAACCCAGCGGTTCTCAACCTGGGGTCCCCAGATGTTTTTGGCCTTCAACTCCCAGAAATCCTAAGAGCTGCTAAACTGGCTGGGATGTCTGGGAATTGTAGGCCAAAAACATCTGGGGACCCCAGGTTGAGAACCACTGGTTTAACCCATTGCACCACTGGGAGCTCGATAATGACAATGACAATGATAATGTTAATAATAACAATAATAATAATAGATGGACTACAAGCAGAGGCATAACACTGTTGCTCAGATGATTCACTGCCAGAATCTTTACAGTTTGATCTTTAGATCCTCGTCTCATGTCAGCTTTTCCAGTTGTTTCTCTTCAATCCTGCTGTCACCTGAGATCACAACATCGACAATCCATACTTTGTTTTCCCCCACAATTGTGAGGTCTTGGGCTCCAAAATGCTGTTGGTCTGATTTCAGAAGTCCCAGAGTAGTTTGATGTGTTCATTTTCTGTAACTTTTTCAGGCTTGTGATCCCACCATTTCTTTGTCACAGGCAGATGGGATTTGTGGCACAAGTTTCAGTGAATCATCTGAGCAATGGTGTTGTGCCTCTGCTTGTAGTCCATCTGCGGGATCTTCTTGCAGGAGCTGAGGATGTGATCCATTGTTTCATCTGCTTCCTTGCAGAGTCTACACTTGGAATTATGAAGATTATTATTATTATTATTATTATTATTATTATTATTACTATTATTATTGGGCCCCCGGTGGTGCAGTGGGTTAAACCCTTGTGCAGGCAGGACTGAAGACTGACAGGTCGCAGGTTCGAATCAGGGGAGAGGCAGATGAGCTCCCTCTATCAGCTCCAGCTCCTCATACGGGGACATGAGAGAAGCCTCCTGCAAGGATGATAAAAGCATCAAATCATCCAGGCATCCCCCGGGCAACGTCCTTGTAGATGGCCAATTCTCTCACACCAGAAGCGACTTGCAGTTTCTCAAGTCGCTCCTGACATGACAAATTATTATTATTATTATTATTATTATTATTATTATTATTTTATTGACACAAAAGCACAGTATGTCACAGCAAACAAGATCTAAATGCTGGATTTCGTATCAAAAAATCACAAGTTGAACCCTTCCCATGCGTCTAGGACTGTGTGATGTATTTTCGAATGATGTGCGCAGATCCAAGTCAGGTGGCTTTTTGTCGTTGACAGATCGTAATTTTGTCAATGTGTATTGTTTCCAAATGCCAGCTGAGATCTTTTGGCACAGCACCCAGTTTGCCAATGACCACTGGGACCACCTGGACTGCTTGATGCCATCAGAGCCTTTGCAGTTAGATTTTGAGGTCTTGATAGTGGCTGAGTTCTTCCTGTTGTTTTTCCTCAATGCGACTGTCACCTAGTAAGGCGACATCAATAATCCAGACTTTTTTCCTTTCCACAATCGTTATGTCTGGTGTATTGTATTCCAAAACACTGGATCCATCATCATCATCATCATCATCTTAGCAGAGGCTCAAAGCAGCAAACAGTGCCAAAGAGAAGAGCATTTCTCTTTAGTTCCACTCAAAACAGTGACATAAATTGATTTAGCTGCCTTGCAATCCATGCAGCGAGTAAACATGGGATATAAACTAAATCAATAAATATATTTTATGGAACTACAGAAGAAACCGAGTGCTTGTAGGGTTTGGGGGTGGTTGTAAGGGCGGGGTACGTGTGTTTCCCTATATTTCCGCACATTGGAGGATTTCAAAATGGATCGAAGCAAAGATGGTTCCAAAACTCAGGTCTTTTTTAAAAGGTGCAAGGTTTTGGGGAACTGATAGGTGATTCTGGGGCCACATAAATGGGATCCATTTGACCATTCCTGGTTGCAATGATGGCACTGAGTTCCCTTCCCATTCTATAGTCCTTTGGTTCTGGGAATCCCTTTGGGGAGGTGTCACCCAAAGAGAAATCCATGGATTTGCATTCTGTGTTTTTTTCAGACAAGGAACTCCACTCAGCCTTGATTCAAGGAATTTGACCCAGCAGGAGCTTTCAAAGGTGCCTTTCATTTCACTTTAGACCTCTCAAAACCTAAGCTGACACACGACTGTACTGTGGCTTCCATAACTCCATGTTCTGGAGATGGAGAATCATCGTCTTGCAAAGGCATAAAACGCTGCTCACAGAGATAGAATTGGAGTTAATTTGGGCCTCAAGCAAGTGTAAAGGCCATTACGGGATGATCTCAGACATGTAGGCAAAGTTCTTTGGACGTTTCAAGTGACCTTAGGAGGCTTTTGGGATTATTTTCCATGTCCTTGTTTAACTCTGGTTGGGGGGGGGGGGCTCTTCCCCAGGGGTCAATTCCCCCCATTTCTTTTCTATGGGCTCTCCAAAATGTGCCACAAATATATCCCTATTTGGGTGAAGATCCCTCAAAATGGCAACTGGAACCAGAACAGTTTGGCTGATAACATTCTTGTAAATCATAGAATCAAAGAGTTGGAAGAGACCTCCTGGGCCATCCAGTCCAACCCCATTCTGCCAAGAAGCAGGAGTATTGCATTCAAATCACCCCTGACAGATGGCCATCCAGCCTCTGTTTAAAAGCTTCCAAAGAAGGAGCCTCCACCACACTCCAAGGCAGAGAGTTCCACTGCTGAATGGCTCTCACAGTCAGGAAGTTCTTCCTCATGTTCAGATGGAATCTCCTCTCTTGTAGTTTGAAGCCATTGTTCCATTGCGTCCTAGTCTCCAGGGAAGCAGAAAACAAGCTTGTTCCCTCCTCCTCCCTGTGGCTTCCTCTCACATATTTATACATGGCTATCATATCTCCTCTCAGGCTTCTCTTCTTCAGGCTATACATGCCCAGCTCCTTAAGCCGCTCTTCATAGGGCTTGTTCTCCAGACCCTTGATCATTTTAGTCGCCCTCCTCTGGACACATTCCAGCTTGTCAATATCTCTCTTGAATTGTGGTGCCCAGAATTGGACACAATATTCCAGGTGTGGTCTAACCAAAGCGGAATAGAGCATGGGGAGCATGACTTCCCTAGATCTAGACACTAGGCTCCTCTTGATGCAGGCCAAAATCCCATTGGCTTTTGTTGCCGCCATATCACATTGTTGGCTCATGTCAGGATGGGGATCTAGTTTGTGTGAGGCTTTATCCAGTTGTGGATCATTTGGGAGCACAATGATCTCACACTTATACCAACAAATAAAATAGGATTTCTGGAACAAAAAAAGCAAAGTTTGGGGAACTTTTTCACATTTCTCCATACTTGCTTTATTCTGAAACTTTGATAAAGTTACCCAAAGTGTTGAACACTGTCATGATATTATCAAAGGCTTGAATATAATTCATATTTGGCAAAAACCATGGATTGGATCCACTGTTTTCCTGCCATGAATCATTGTCGCTGAATTGTCAAAGGCTTTGATTGCCAGAATCAATGGTTGTTGTAGGTTTTTCAGGCTGTATGACCATGCTCTAGAAGCAGTCTCTCCTGACGTTTCGCCTGCATCTATAGCATGCATCCTTAGAGGTTGTGAGGTCTGTTGGAAACTAAGAAATATTTCCTGCCATAGATGCAGGYGAAACGTCAGGAGAGACTGCTTCTAGAGCATGGTCATACAGCTATGCCAACAACTTCCCACTGTAAACAAAGRCCCTTTTTAGCTTTAAATGCTCAAGGACCCCCCCCCCCCCAAATGTGGGCAAAATGTTTCCCCAAAGCCTCCTTTTTTGCAGTATAGTGTTTCAGGGGTCTTTACAAGACTAAAGACCTTGCAAAACTACAACTCCTACTGAATTTTTTGTCAGTAKAGTGATGAAGCTGCTCTCTATCCTTGTCTGAAAATTAAAAGTTCCAGCAAAGTTCCTGAGCTTCTTTGCGGGATAAGGTTCAGTGGTGGAACAACTTCCCATGAAGTTTGGACTACAACCCAGGACGGGTTCACCATCTTGCAAAAATGGAAATCACAGATAGGCAGGTGGGTGGCATTTGCTCCAAGTACGTGGAAACATGCACAAAGCAACTTCAAGTGTACAGACTGATCACTGAAGACCCAGATTCAGATTATTGATACTCTGCAGTTTCTGACTTCTGTTCAGGGTCATGAAATTGGGAAAACTAAGAATGCATCTGAACTGTGGAATCAATAGAATCATAGAATCATAGAATCAATGAGTTGGAGGAGACCTCCTGGGCCATCATCCAGTCCAACCCCATTCTGCCAAGAAGCAGGAATATTGCATTCAAATCACCCCTGACAGATGGCCATCCAGCCTCTGTTTAAAAGCTTCCAAAGAAAGAGCCTCCACCA